CCATCCTCCGCCAATTTCTTCCAGAACTGCCCCCCCAACCCCCTTACAACCTCATATCCTTCTTTCTCTTTATAACCCACTGAGACTAGCTACTGGTGTTCTTATCTGTTGTATATCTATAACAAAGACATGACACACACCTCTAAGAGGCCAAGAGGTGCAGCCTGACTATGTTCCTAGAAAAATATTCTGAAATATTTGTTAAATGGTATCTGTCATTCATTGAGAACTTAGCACATGCCAGGCATTGAGGGCTCTTCTCAGATATATCCCTTAGTGCCCTCAGAAATACCCTAAAGCAAAGATTGTATGTGTGTGTGTGTGTGTGTGTGTGTGTGTGTGTGTGTGTGTGTGTGCATGTTCATGTATAGACAGGTTAGCATACTGTGTATGTACATGTGTTTGGCTAGATGTTAACCTCAGATGTCCTTCTTCAGGTACTAAACATCTTGTTTTTGAGACAGGCTTCTTACCTGGCCATCAGACTGAGCTGGCCTCCCCAGCACTGAGATTACAAATGTACACTGCCTAGATCAGCTTTTTTAACGTGGGTTCTGAAGATCAAACATCGCTCTTCATGTTTGCATAGCAAGAACTTCCCCCACCCAGCCCATGAAGCAGGGACTTGCTTACACTCAAACAACTGATACTGAGAGATGTGATGAGACTTGTCTGGGGGATGAGAAGATAAATGGTGGGGTCAGAGTTAGCTCTGAGCTGTGTTCCTGCAGCTCGGCAGTTGCTGAATGCAGTGACGATGTTGCTGGAAGGACGAGCAACGACTGAGGCTCTCTTATGTGTTATCCCCTTTCCAGCTCAGTTATACATGAGCATTCCCTTCCAAATAAGTAATTAAATACAGAGTTGCTTCCCGGGGTCTGCAGCAGCAGTAGCACTCGAGCTCAAGAATTCCCGGGTCTAAATTCTCCGTGTAGTGCCCTTTTTTCCCTTCTTCCTTATTATTTAGCATCCCTCATTACAGGCCTAGTGGACGGCCCTGAGTGGTGGGAAGCAGAGAGTGTGTGAGTGTAGGTGTCAGAGTTAAATTGCAGCGGGGTTTGAACTTGGACCCTTCTAAGCTTGCCACCTGAGGCTGACAACTGAGCTGTCTCTCAGGGGTTGTTGTATGGAATAAATAAGGTCATCGTTGTGACAAAAGTAATCACTTACATTGAAAAGAAATTAACTAGGTCTGGATACTGAGTTCAGAGCTTTATATGCATAATTGCCCCTGCCCATTTACTTTGGATATTTATGTTGCAGGTAACACAAAGAGAACCCATCTAGACTCCACCCAGCTTCCCCTAAGATTAGCACCTGACATCGTAACCAAATAATTTACCAAAAGAAATTAATATTGATATTATACTATATCTAAATTATACTTTTTTTGTATTTCATCTGTTTTCCAATTAACATCCTCTTGTTTTGTCCCATGGCTCAATCTGGGTTGCAGCACTACATCTGGTTATCACACCTCCCTGGTTTCTTCTCATTTTCTCATTTTGTAGTGGTAATATACCCAGGGCCATCTCCCCCCTGAGCATGCCAGGCAAACCCTGAGCCACACACACCCACCCCTGCTGATCTTCATATGCATTCTTTTATTTCCATTTACTGTTGAGGAAACTGAGACTCAAGTGATTAAGTCACACAGAGTTAGAATTCAGCCCCAGATCTGTTGGGCTCAAAGCTCAAGACTTTATCATTTATAAGGAAATGATCAGTGAGAAATCCAATGTTCGAAGAAAAAGCCGCACACAGAGAGTAAGAGGCTCATGGGGGAGACACTGACATACAGAGAACTGGCTTTGCTGCTTTAGAATACTAACTCAGCATGATCTGCTCCCTCCTCAGCCAAGCCCAGGTAATCTGTTCTGACAGGAGAGCGCACCTGGGGAAGCAAGCTAAGCTTGGGCTTAGACATTGGCAGAAAGGCTTCTCAGAGAGTTAGGCCATAGCAGCTCTCCTTGGTAGCAAAGCCAGATACAGCATCCTGAGCCAGGTTGGGGGTCAGCTGCACTGGGCATCAAGACAGGACCAGAATACACTTAACAGGGGCTTCTGGCAGCTCCCTCTGCCCTGAGCACACAGCAGAGCCATTGCAACCAGAAGAGCCATTGAAGTGTTGACCCTATTAATACTCAGCATGCCTTATTCAGTGTGCCTGTCATGTTACTGACCAAGCTTCAGAGAGAGAGAGAGAAACAAGAACCATAAGGGATCAGGCAGGGTGGTACACTTTCTGTAATCATAGTACTTGAGAGGCTGAGGCTGGAGGATTGTCTCAAATCAAGGCCAGCTGGGGCTACATAGCAAGACCTCAACAACAAAAACAAACAGGTTCTTTAGCCACCTTTCCTGGAGAGTGTAGCTATCACTCCTTATCAAAGAAACCTCTCTTTACAGCAATGGAGACGATCACAGAAAACCACAACTGGACACAATGGACCGGGGGAGCCCAGCTGCAATGGACATACCTACATCACAGCTTCTGCATCTATGGCTCAGGAAATGTTGAGGAAGAGCGGGGCAGAAAGATTGTATGAGCCAGAACACTAGGAAGTCAGGTGTGGAGCAGTGTCTACTAGGGATGGCTTCACAAAGAAGACTGAACAGTGGCAGCATCAATGGACATGCTAATGTAGAAGGGGGAAATTTGTGGAGTCCACCCCAAAGAACTGCATGCAACTAATGACTGCTGGGAAAGGGAGAAGTAGGCTCTTCCAGGGATGAGCCAGCTTGTTGTTTGTCTAATGAAGAGTGGCTAGCCCCAAAACCATATACATACAATTGATAAAAGTGGATTCAGTAGGTTGTATTTATATATTTGTGCACACATACACATGTGTGTGCATGCAACAATAATAATCAAGGAAAAAGAGGCTATCAACTTGAGAGTGGAGGAAGGAAACATGGAAAAATGTATGTGGGAGGGCTAGAGGGAGGAAAAGGAGGGGGAAGTGATGCAATTTTATTTCAATTAAAATACAATTAAATGTTAAATTAATTAAAAGCAAAACAAAACAAAAACAACAAGCAGGACTAGAAGAATAGTCCCACTGGCAAAACACTTGCCTTGCAAGCCTAAAGGTCTGAGTTGCATGCCCAGAACCCATGCTTTAAGAAACAAAACAACCGGGGGCTGGAGAGATGGCTCAGAGGTTAAGAGCACTGACTGCTCTTCCAGAGGTCCTGAGTTCAATTCCCAGCAACCACATGGTGGCTCACAACCATCTGTAATGAGATCTGGTGCCCTCTTCTGGCCTGCAGTCATATATGCTGTATACATAATAAATAAATAAATCTTAAAAAAAAAAAGAAAGAAAGAAAGAAACAAAACAACAAAACAAAAGCAATGGTTATGGAGCCCAGTGAGATGGTTTTGTGGATAGGGCACTAGCTACCAAACCTGATGACCTGGGAATTTATCCCAGGGACTATGTAGAGTAGAACAAGAGAACTGTCTCCCACAGTTGTCCTCTGTCATTGCCTGAATGTACTCCATCCCTAGTAAATAAAATTAAAAACATAAACAAATTGTGAGTATGGTGGCATGTGTTGGTAATCCCAGCACTAGGGAGGCAGAGACAGATGGATCCCAGGGTTAACTGGCCAGCCAGCCTAGCCTGCTTGACAAAGTCTAGCCTGAGAAACAAGGTGGGGCCAGTGAGAAGGCTCACAGGTTAAAAAAACAAAAGGAAAAAAGCACCTGCTTCAAAGCCCAATGAACTAAGTTCAATGCCCAGTCAAAAAGGAAAGAATGAATTCCACAAGTTGTCCTCTGACCTTAACACACACACATACACGCACACGTTGGCATATGTGTGTATGACACACATGCATGAACACAAACTAAGTAAAAATGTAAAATAAACAAAGTGGATGGTTTCTGAGGAATGACATTGGAGATTTTCAGTCATACCCCCAAAGTGCACCCCCTGACACCACACCCAAAGAAAAACTAGAGGTGGTTGGAACAAGAATTACTAAATGGTCTTATTAATTAAAAAAACAAAAACAAAAACCCAAAGCCAGATATTGGGTTAAAAACCTGAGAGATCAGAGGAATAGGAAAAGCCACAGCCAACCTCACCTTACAGACACTTCAGTCTCCAAAGATAACTACTTCCTGTATACCCACATCTATATGCCTTTCTGTTCTGCAATCTCACTTCTTCTCTCTGTCCAGCTATATCACTTTCTGCTTTTCTGTACAGACCTCCAATCCTTTATGGTTAGTGCTGAGATTAAAGGTGTGTGTCACCATGCCTGTCTCTGTTCCCCAGTGTGGCCTTGAAGTCACAGAGATCCAAATGGATCTCTGCCTCCCGAATGCTAGGATTCAAGCTGTATGCTACCATTGCCTGACTTCTATATTTAATATTGTGGCTGGCTTTTTCATCTGATACTCAGATAAGCTTTATTGGAGTGCACAGAGAAAATATCACCACATTTCCCCCTTTTTTAAAATCTAAAATAAAAAAATTATAACTAATATAAGAAAAACTATATATATAAATACAACTATATACAATATATACAAGCAATAAATAAATCAACAATGTCTAGTCCATTTGCATTTGACAAATTCAGAGAAAATACTCCATTATCTATCCTATTTTTGTGAATCCAAAGGATTGAATCTAATTTACCTTCTATCCTAATTTGCATAACCCAAACTATCTTTTGATGTCTTTCAAACTTATCTACTTTACACCTCTTTAGTGAGTTTCTTTTCTGAATTTCTTAACAAGGAAAACTATAACTATCTAATCTTCAATTCCCTCAAAGACCCAAGAAGGAAATAATATTACCTAGTAAGACAGGAAGTGCAAACAAGTGACTTCCAAAAAATGTGAGTTATGACAGAAACAGCCAGCTGCCTGGACAGTCACCCGAGGTGTCTCTGCAACATTGGGGCATCATCTTTGGCCTACAGGCTTGTCATATCTGATAGACTCTTTTGTGAAGCAGGATTTTTTAAAGAGCCTTCCTACCTTGTCTTGGCAAGGATCAGCAGTCCTTTGTTTTGTGTCCTGTTTGTCCATTTTGGACAGCATACTGTCAGCAGTCAAGGCAAGGGCACTTTCTTGCCCAGTGGCTAACTTTTGTCATAATGAAAGTAAACTCCATGTGGAGTTTCTTCAATGCCCATCATCTTCTCTGAAGTAGATTGGTGCTGCCAGGAGCAGAAATGTCTCATTGTCATAATAAAAAAAGAAAGAAAGAAAATCTATGTTATTAAGACATCTTAAATGCCATATTCTGTAAATCTCTGAAGTGTTTGAAGATGACCTGTCTATCTAAAATATATCTCTGTTTGACCTTGAAAACATACCTAATCTGACTACAAGTTTAATTGTAATGACTAACTACTAACTTTAATTTCTTTATATACTAAATAGTTGGCAATAATAACTTTCAAGGATTAGCAAATTGTATTACATTGTTAAATGAATTGTATAGGTACAATACTTGAATGTCATTAGAAATATATGTACAATATATTCTAACAAAATTAATCTCAAATTTATATCAATATACATAATTTGTATACAATATATAAAAATCAAATCCAGTGTGTAATATTTAAAACTAGCAGTTGCCTTTTAAAAGTAGATTTGATAATTTACCGTTTTATCTTATCATATCTATATAAATCAATCTCAAATTTGTAGCAATATGCAAATTTGTATACAATATATAAAAATCCAATCCAATGTAAAATATTTAAAAGTAGATTCAATAATCTACCTTTTTATCTTATTATATCTATATTCTCTCTTTTTTTTTATTTTCAGAGTAGATTCAATAATCTACGTCTTATCTATATTCTCTCTTTTTTCCAAACAAGAATCCTGAATTTAATTTCTTTGGTTTAGCCTTTTTCCTGACCATTAACAATAACAACTTGTTAGCCCGGACACACACACACACACACACACGCACGCACGCACGCACGCACGCACGCACGCACGCACGCACACACGCACGCACGCGCGAGAGCCTTTAATCCCAGCACTCGGGAGGCAGAGGCAGGTGGATCTCTGTGAGTTCGAGGCCAGCCTGGTCTACAAAGTGAGTTCCAGGAAAGGCGCAAAGCTACACAGAGAAACCCTGTCTCGAAAAAACAAACAAACAAACGAACAAAAAAACACAACAACAAAACAACTTGTAACCAACCATCCTAAACAATGACAATTATACAAAACCCTTAGAATGACCAAAAACCATCCACCCCACCTCTTGGGAATATCTGTTTCATGGTCTTAAAATTACTTCCTGCTGTCTGGGGGCAAAGGCATCTTTAAGGGATCCTGAAAAGAAAAATTATAGGTTAATTGTCAAGTTCTGGGAGAGATAGCTGTGTCATTTGTTGTCCAGTCTCTGCATAATGCAAAAGTTCAGGGCTTATCTCAAGCCCTTGCTCTAGTAGATTGTGAGGCTGGATCATCTCATCTAGTGATCTTGAAATTGTCCTGAGCAGTGTGTAGTCCAAAGTCGATCTTTGGGTGGTGTTTGTCAGCTTAGTGGTATTATTATTGCCCATGTGGAATCATTATTGTGGGTCCCATCATCTTTTTGGAAACTTCAAAGTCGCTGTTAGACTTGGTCATGATTCCCTGCAGAAAATTGACAAAGACTCAAACATGAAAACAGGTACAGGCAGCTAGATGAAGCCTTTTTTTCTAGAATTAGTTAGTACCCTATATGACCATTAATATCATGACAAAAATTTAAATATATATATTAACCTTATAAATTTTGATATAAAATTTATACCTTAAGAAAAGTTTTAAAGAATCAAAAGAGAACTAAAGAATTATGAGATTAGTGGCAATAGAATAGTCTCTTAATTTTGGTTTTCATCTGTCCCATATCAGATGGCTCTTCTGACATGATATAGAGATTTTTACATTTTCTTTTTTTTTTTTATTTCAGTTTTTCAAGACAGGGTTTCTCTGTGTAGTTTGGTGCCTGTCCTGTATTGCACTCTGTAGACCAGGCTGGCTTCAAACTCACAGAGATTCACCTGGCTCTGCCTCCTGAGTGCTGGGATTAAAGGCATGTGCCACCACTGCCTGGCTGCATTTTGTTTTAACAAGCATGCTTGGGTTTAGAGAAGGAGAGAGCCATTCTCCAATTCCAAAGCCAGCTTTAATTTTTAATTGAACTGGGATTATATAAAGACCATTTGTGTTAAGTGTCTGTAGAGAAGAGCAGAAACAAATATTTAGGAAGACTTATGAAATTTTATATGTGATATACCAATAGGCCAATTTATTCATTTTCTTGGGACATTTTTTTTTCTGGATGATTTGTCCTTTTTCTTCAGATGTATCATTTCTCCAGTATTCTTCATATTCCTTAGCCTTCATTCTCCCGAAAAACAAAAACAAAAACCCTCCCCCAAGCCTAACTTTGGTGAGGCTCCCTTTTTGCAAGTTATATCTGACCAAGTGAAAAGAATTTGTGAGTGGTATGAGTTAATTTAAATTGGGTGGTCATGTTGGTTGATGAATGATCACTTCATCTAATCAAGAGGTCTCTGTTGTTCATATTGAACATTTATCAATTTTGATGGTATCCACAGCTTTTCTTCTCCTGTAGAAACAAATGCAAAACCTCGTCACCAACGTAACACATATCTTGGTTTCCATTCTAAGGTCAGCGCACCTTTAAAGTATATAGGCTGATTTAATCCTGTCGTTTTTTTCTATTATCCAATGTCTCTCCACAGTTGTTGTTCCTTTCTCATTAGTATTGAGAAAATTCAAAGTTAATAGAGCATTATGTAATCTATTTCTGAGGGGTTTTGTTACCCTTTACTGTGTATTTAGCATATCCTAAACACACAGTATTTGATCTTTCTGTGACTGCTTGGCCTGAAGGATTGTGTGGTACACCTGTAATATGCTTTATATTGTAATAAGCAAAAAACTGTTTCATTTTACCAGAGACATATGCTGGAGCACTGTTAGTCTAAATTTTGACAGGTATACCCATGATGGCCATAAGTTCTAGCAAATGTGATTATAGAATCAACCTTTTCAAAACTCCGAGTAGTTGCCCACTGAAATCCTGAGAAGGTATCAATGGTGTGGTTTACGTATTTCAGTTTTCCAAATTCTGCAAAATAAGACATATCCATCTGTCAGATGTCATTCCTCTGAGTACTCTTTGGGTTACATCCTGCTGGTAGTGGAGTCTGATTGTAAAAAGAACAAGTAGGACATTTGCTTGGCTTGTTGCCAGGTTATGGAAACATCTTTTGTTGTTGTTTTGTTTTGTTTTGTTTTGTTTTGTTTTTTGAGACAGGGTTTCTCTGTGTAGCTTTGTGCCTTTCCTGGATCTCACTCTGTAGACCAGGCTGGCCTCGAATTCACAAAGATCCGCCTGCCTCTGCCTCCCTATTGCTGGGATTAAAGGTGTGTTCTACCACCGCCCGGCACGAAAAAATCTTTTTTTAAACCTTACTATTGACATGATGTTTTTATGAAATTCTGAGACCTCCAGCACATTTCCTATCAATAGTTTATTGGTCTCAACATTACCTTGTGCTAGAGGTCCTGGCATACTCGTATAGGATCAGATGGGAGTTATATATAAGGGATGATTCCTATTCCTGGTTATTTCTTGTAACTGAATAAATAACAAAGTTAATTCTGACTCATCAGGGATAAATTCTGCAGTCTTAATATGTAAGACCATTCACCCTTTCAGCATACTCAGAGTCAGTAACTATGTTGAGAGGTTCTGAAAAATCCATTACTATCAAAATAGCATACAATTCCAATTTTTGAACCAAATTATAAGGACTTTGAACCACTTTACTTAAATTTTCTGATTTGTAACATGCCTTTCCTTGTTTGTTTGCATCTGTATAAAATGTAGGGGCTCCAGATATGGGTGATTCCCATATAATGTGAGGCAGGATCCAATCAGTTATCTTTATAAGTTGAATTCTATCGCTTTTGGGATATTTGCTGTTAATCTCTCCCCCAAAATTACTGCAAGCTCTTTGCCAAGGTTCACTTTCTGCCCACAATTTGTTAATATCATCCTTAGTTAAAGGTACTACAATTTCTGCTAGGTCTATTTCTAGCAATTGACAAAGTCTCAATTTTCCTTTTAAAATCAACCTAGAGATCTTCTCTATGTTAGTTTTTAATTGTTTACTCTGTTTATTTGGTAGAAATATCCATTCCAATATGATATCTTTCCTCTGCATTAAAATTCCTGTAGGAGAATGCTTAAAGGGTAAAATAATCAAAATGCAATCAAGCTATGGATCAAAATGATCCACATGTGCATTCTGTATTTTCTTTTCCACCAAGGTCAATTCTCTCTCAACTTCAGTTGATAATTCTCTTGAAACTATTTAAGTCCATGTCACCCTCTAAGGTTTTGAACAAATTACTCAGTTCATCATTTTTTACTCCATTTTTTTCCAGAGATGGGAAATGTCTCAAAAAATCTTTGAAAGTCATTAAGAGTCCATAATTGATCTCTCCTAACTTGCACCTTTTGGGATCTAATTTTTTGTAGACCTATTTTATATCCTAAATAATTAATAGAATCTCCTCTTTGTATCTTTTCAGGAGCAATTTGAAATCCCCAACAAAGCAAAGTTTTCTTTACTTCTTCAATCATTCTTTCTAAGGTATCTGCATTTCAATCAGTTAGTAAAATATTGTCTATGTAATGATAAATGATAAATTTAGGAATTGTTTATGCACAACAGCTGTTGTACAAAATATTGGCACAAGGTTGGGCTATTTAACATTTCCTGTGGGAGAACCCTCTATTAATATCTCTTAACTGGCTGAGAATTATTATAAGTAGGAAATGTGAAGGCAAATCTTTGTCTTTTTCTTGTAAGGGTATTGAGAAGAAACAGTGTTTTAAATTGATAAGTGTAAGAGGCCATCCTTTAGGTAATAGAGTTGGCAAAGAAATTCCAGATTGTAGAGAGCCCATTGGCTGAATTACCTTATTAATTTCTCTTGGGTCAGTTACTATTCTCCACTTACCAGATTTCTTTTTAATAACAAACAC